AGCATATTGTCTCGTGAGCGCTGGGGTGCTGGAGTTGTCGTTGAATCAAACTACCGTCACTAGTTAGACTACAGTACAGTTTGGACTCTTTGGGAGTAAGTGTTACTATTATCATGGTTATCGTACAGTGCTGATTTTCACATGCGGCATCTTATATAAATCAGGTTTGCTTACTTGCAAGTAGATGCATTTGCATACACTGTTTTGTATCACTGTATCTCATTTCAATCCATTCTAGCGTTTTTCCAATCGGTTTAGGTGGATTTGAAGTACACTCTGTATCATAAACTTAGTTACGAAGGAGACAGTCTGTTGATGATCTTCAACTATTTGAAGTACAATGTACATTCAGGCGCGTAGCACCGCCGTTGGAGGTGGTCCGGTTGGAGGGGGTCTGGGGTATCCCCCGGGAAAATTTTGAAATTAGGGTTCAAAATCCTGCATTCTGGGCACTTCTGGGCGAAAAAGTGGTCCGGCCCAAGCCGGACCGGCCGGATCGGCTGCTACGCCCCTGACATTGCTGACCCATTCGGGATACTTCGTGGTTATTTGACGTTCTTCTTCTTTTCCATTGTGTACTGTTCCTCGTCAGTAATGCCGTTCTGTGTGGAGTGTACACGTGCATGTGGTGTATGTTGTGTCTGTTGTGAATGGTCCGTGCGCTGGAGTGCTGCCGTCGTACAAGTTCACTGCCTTTCAGGCAGTGAACTTGTACGGTGGCAGTGCCCTAGCGTACGTACCATGCACCGGGATTTATATTCAATATAAATCCCACGCGGGATTTATACTGGCCAATATAATCATGGCTAGACGAGCGCTGATTGGCTGAAAACAGGCCCTCCGCACCGTACCATGGTATAATGTATTGTATTGCAAGAACAAGATTAGTTATCCTGGATTATGGGGAGTGAAGAAAACAGTGAGTCTAGGAATCTCTCCTTAGATCATATTAACATTGGTCATGAATGTAAACTTTCAATGGACGTGAGAGTTGAGATGTGCTATGTAGGGCAGGACAACTAGAGAGGAATGCAGTGCTGCCAAATAATTTTCGCCCCAAATCGGACACCCTTCACCGCCAAGGCTGGTGGCCGCATGTGCGAATTTTTCTCCTCGGCAATTATTTTTTACAGAGAATTCAAAATATCGCCTAAAACACCATGAAAATTCGCTTCGTTGCCTTGGTAACCCCGGAGTTGTCATGAATTTTGTAATGATGAGTGTGGTTGCACACTGCAGACTGTCAGCGGACATGCCATCCAACCTGATCGAGGCATGTTACTTTGCACTTCCAGAGCCAAGCGCTAGTCTTTTTAGAAGCAAATGTACAGTGATTTGTGCCTTCAGTTGTGCTGAAAAGTGAAAGTACAGGACTTCTGCATAGGAAAGTAATGATCTCGGACATTTTGGCTGCTTTTCGGACGTTTCCCTTTTCGGAAAGGTTTTCGGAAGAGCCTTCAAAAATCGGACACTGTCCGAAAAATCGGACGGTTTGGCAGCACTGGGAATGCTAGGCAGTGAGATTCCGAAGTACATCATCTATTTTGTGTGTTGTTTTATGTAATGCATTGCAAATCCAAGGACAATCATCTCCAAAAGGATAAAATCTAAGATATCCTGGATAGGTGGAGTAAAGAAAACAGTGAGTATGGAGAACTCTCGGGATAGGGAACATCCTAGCATTAGCCATGAAAGTAAACTTTCGATGAGGCATTTCAACCCGGGTGGAGTTCGAACTGGGTCAGATTTCAACCCGCCATGTACACAAAATGAATGGCGCGTTTACATGACGCATTGCGCTTGACCCGGGTCAAAGAAATCGTACTAACGTACTTCGGTGTGTATCTCGTGCCAGGTTTGAACAGCACTGTACATGCAAATATCGCGCGAAAGAATTCACGTAACCATACAGAACTCTAGAAGTGGATTTTTGGCGGCATATCAGTAATGGCCCGGGTCAGCTGTCTTCATGTAAACGCTCACCTCTTTTGTCTATCGTACAGACTTTCAACCCGAGCGGAACTCGACCCGGATGGAAATTTCTCATGTAAACACAGCCGTACTCTACTTGTGCATCTTTCATGTTCTCTTGCCTCTTCGCAGGGTCACAGGTGGACGTCTTCCCGGACTCGGTCAACACCAAGCTGAGCGACTATCCGTTCGTCCGCGTCCGCTGGCCGAATGTCACCGTGAACCTGCCGTGCGTGGCGCTGCGCTCGGGCGCGGCTCCTGCCGTCGAGATCGAGGTGGCTTACTCGGCGTACGGAAAGCAGGTGGCTGCGCATAAGCTGACTGCGGCCAACGGCAGCTGCCCACAAGACACGTACACGTTGCGACCTCGCGAGGCAGGCCGGTACAGCTACAAGTTCAGGGCGGTAGCACCAGTCCCCACGGTGTTCTCCGCGGATTTTCAATTTTTCGTTCCGTTCGATCAAGGTATGGTCGAAAACGGGTTAAATCAATATGACAAGAAAAGAAGGAAGAACACCAAAGATACAAGGGATGCAACTGGGCGGTGAAATCCAAAATGAAAATTTGAAATAGTCTTATCCAAAGAAACTCTAGGCAGATGTATTAAGGTTGTGTAAAAGATTCAGGACAGATGCCGGTATGTGTAAATTAGCACCATATCCCTCACACACTCATACTCAGCCCAAGGCAACAAGGAATTGTTTTGGAGATAGTGTGCTGCTTCGAGTAACTGGTCTTGTAATGCAAAAGCTCGAAGAGCTGGAAAGCAATGCCAGGCCACTGGCAGCAACTGGCTCGCGAGGAGCCGCAATAAACCCACATTGTGCCACAATGGGGTTGCAAGGCAAAGCCAATGCAATTGGCAACAACTGGCTCGTGAAGAGCCGCAACTAGCGAAGCAAGTGACCAGTTAGGAGCGATAGAGCTAAATGTTCCATAGTACCATTAGCAAGATGATAAAATGGGAAGGATGGAGGGTGAAAATTTGGTGCTGGCACAAGCTAAAAGTCACCACTTATTAGACTAGTCTTTGAAGTGAAGCCAACAGCAAGAAAGAAAGAGAAAGTTCAAAGGAAGCAGTTGTACGACGTCAGGCTAAGCGCGCCCGAATCCATGCGCTGGCAGTGTGAGTGCAGTGAGCAAAAGTTCAAAGGAAGCAGTTGTGTGACGTCAGGCTAAGCGTGCCCGAATCTATGCGCTGGCAGTGTGAGTGCAGTGCACAATGCACTGATGCAGCGGTGCGCGGCAGATGCAAACATGGCAGTGTGATCGGTGGATGCTAACACACAATAACTACATTACTGCGACATAAATTGATTCGCATAGGAGTTCGAGCCGACACGGGCAGCATATTCCAGGAATCGGCACCTGAAAATGATAAGCACTTCAAAGTTCAGACCAATAACACTGTAGTGCATTCACCAAATCTGGGCCCAGAGGTTTTTCAATGTCTCGCATTTTTCTTATTCAAGATCGTGAAGTCGATGACTCATATTGGTCAAAAATATGATAGCAGTTGTTTTAAGGCTGAGATGAAGTGAACGCGGTGAAAATTGATCAAGATATGTGCAAAATGTATTTTTCACACACGGATACTTGACAGATCGCGTACTATATGCATTTGACACATTGCGTATGATAATGTTGCAACACATGGTTCCGCTGCTGGTCCTCCGCTAGAGATCGCATGCAGGCGCGCTATGCCGCGTGAATACAGCCTCTCCAAGCTGCTCGATCCTGGGCCATCATGGACAATTCGTCAAGATGGTACACATACATGTAATTTTAGTGTATCAGGGCCAGGAGTTGGCGAACACACTGTCGGGGGGAAAGATAGGGGGGGGGGGGTAGAATCAGCTGCTTTTGTGTTACGGCACTCGTTCTGTGGATGGGGTATTAAAATGAGGGCAGGTTATAAAAAGGGAGCCGCTGACCCACACATTGACTGGATCAAGTGAGGTATATGAGATTCAGCATGCTTACATTCAGCGTGGCAAGAGCGTGTATTGATACGAATCCTGTTACCTGTACATATCACATAGTGCAATGAAATCGCATCAATTCTGCCATGCAGGAAGGATGTGATACAACATAGTCCGTTCTCTAGCATGTCCAGCTACCACACTGGCCATATCGCATCCCTGCGAGGTTCGTTACACGTCACGACTGATAACAGCCATGTTCAAAGAGTTGGTGGACAAGCCATCGATTAGCCACTCTCATTGCAAGATCAAAAAGTACTCTCTCTAGACCAAGAGTGGTTGATAACAAAGATAGAAATATTTACGATACCTTTCCAGACGTTTCGTTGTTCAGAACATCGAAACGTCTGGAAAAGTATCGTAAACATTTCTATCTTGATTAATCATATAATAACACCACTCTTGGTGTAGAAAGAATACTTTTATATCAACCATGTTCGTTGGTTTGTGTGTGTGTTGTGTGTGTGTTTTTGTATTGGTATTTCTGTGTGTATGTGTGTGTGTGTGTTGTGTGTGTGTGTGTGTGCGTGTGCGTGTGCGTGTGTTGTGTGTGTGTGTGTGTTGTGTGTGTGTGTGTTGTGTGTGTGTTGTGTGTGTGTGTGTGTGTGTGCGCGCGCGCGCACGCGTGCATGCATTCACTGACTTTCTGCATTGTTTCCGCTCAGGACCGGAAACCTGCGATGAGATTGCCAATGAAACATGCACAGCACAGTACAGAGATTGTGTGATGGAAAAGGGAGCATCCGTATGCGTCCACCGTAAGAGACTGGCTGTTGTTTGCTTATTGTTCTTGTACAGTTCGGCAAGTTGAGCACCACTGGTGTTCAGGTACCAGAGGTGAATCTAGGGGGCAGGGTTCCGGGGGTTCCACAGACAGAACCCCCTAAAGTTCTCAAGTGTACCACTGGAAACCATATGAGCCAGGGACTATAGAAACCGCCCTACGACGTTTGATATCAAAATCAAGTTATGACGTTTCGAAGTCACGCGACTCAAAGTTACGCGAAGCGCAGAACTCGTCACTTTTGTTTTGACAAGACTCAAGAGCTGTTGGGAAGGATTCCGAGCTCGAGCGATTGTCGAGTAACTCATGAGGCTCCACTTACTGTGATTGATTATGGCTACAACATCTAGTAGACGACGCTGCTCGATTCTGTGTGGAGTCGACTAGTCCCTGATGCGAAGGCGCTTGAATCGGACGAGGAGAGTTTTTACGGATTCAGCGCTGGCACCCGCGAGTCGTCCGCGAGCGATTCCGACACCGATGCTGACAGCGACGGCGATGATATGCCACCTAAAAAGAAGTCGTATTGAGTAACAGCAAGCTCGAGTGCTGCTAGTGTTGTGTCGAAAACGCCAAGCCCCGACAGCTCGGGAATTTCAAACGCGGAGAGTAACACAGACTACTCGGAATCGGATGACGAACCAGATGCCCCCGCACCTGAGCCACCGACGACGGAGCAGGTGAAGCGTGGTCTCCTGTCTTCAGACATACTACATACTATACGCGATGGGATTGAGAGAGGCTGTGGTTGCAAGTCGAAGAATCATTAGAAAGTCATCCCAGAGGAGCAGCTCGAGGACTACATATTTGATGTCTCTAAACTGCGAGAATCGAAAAAGCGCTTCAAGCGGTTTGTTCTGGGCGCACTGACTGGAAGCATGCGAAAGTCGATGGCTGGTGGTGGTGATCGACCTTTCTATTTCCGCTGTCATGTACGTGGTTACGAGTTGTGCAAAGACGTGTTCATGGCAGTTCATGCTGTTGGAAGTCATGTAATGAAACGCCTTAAAAAAAGGCAAACAAAGGAGTCGTTCAACTGGCACACCATGGCTTGACTGGGAGAACACCAGAGCACTTGGCCATTTCAGCAGACATAGAGCAGGATGTAGTGCAGTTTATTTTAGTAATATGCCAACATGTACGGTCTCACCTGCAGCGGAGCGAGGTCGTGCTGAGGACCCTCCAGTATACTTACCAGCATCCAAGAACAAGAAGTCTGGATACAACATCAATACCAAGACCGTCACACAGTATTCGCCTGTTCATTACAGGTCATTTTGCCACATTTGGAGGAGACAGGCAGCACGCATCAAAGTGATGAAGCCAAGGACAGACGTATGCGCACTGTGTGACAATCTACGGGACAAAATTCGTGTCGCCCGTACAGAGGAAGAGACGGAATGTAGTGTCCAGGCCCTGCGTTTGCACATATCACTAGCACAAGAGGAGCGACAGTACTACCGAGATTTAGTGGACGGCGCGCAGGCGTCACTGGATGAAGCTGAGGGCATAGTTCACTATACATTTGAACTGCCTAACTAGCAAGAATGAAGATATACAAAGAACACTACAAACTGTGTACATAAATTTGCTCTATATCGCTCAATTGATATGCCATTATTAAATAGGTGGTTAGGCACATTTTACCACCGCAGATCAACTTGAAATTTTGTTTTTGAGCACATTACCATACCAACATTTTGAGAGAAAAATTTTTTTCGCCAAAAAGTGCCATAGGGTGGTTTCTGTAGTCCCTGGCTCATATGCATGTACATGTAAATGTATTAGCTATTCAGTTTTTGGCTAAACTGAACTGGAGCCCCCTGTAGAGATCTCTGGATCCGCCCCTGGGTGCCCCTACAGTGTTTCTCTCCCGGAGCTGTGCAAAGGACAGTACGATATGTAGTGTCTGGCTCTAGCCAGGGTCCACAGTGCACACGCACGATGACCTAGGTAAACTGAAACCAAGAATAGCCAGGGTCCTGAGCTTGGAAAGCTATAAAAGTTAAGTAAAATTGAGACCCAGACCTTTTAGTGCCCCCTCACGCATGTACAGTAAAACTTGTAATGGCGACCACTCGGATATGGCGACCACTCGACCATGGCGACCATTTTTCCTTGTCACGGACTCATTCACGCTTAAAACAGCTCGGATAAGGCGACCACTCGCTCAACCCGACCGACGATCACCCATCCGCGATCGCGTTGCACAGTGCTAGTACATGTAAATGTATGCATTGCATGGTCTACACATCAGTGCAGGAAGTGTAGATATGCATGGTGCATGCACGACACTTCATGGGTCTGAGGACCCGAGGCACACGAGTCGTTTCTTTTTTTTTTTTTTACTGAATACTACAGTACCATCAGATGCTGCACAGCGGGGGCGGGGGCATATTGGATAGAAGTGGGGGCGGGGCAAAAGTAACTCCTCCGACCAAGGGTCTCGGAATCATCGTTACTCCTGTGCGCCGATACATAGGAGAAAAGAAACATGTGCATCCAAGAGGGAAGCACCGGCTATGCAAACGATAATGGGGAGAATTTGATATTGAGATAGGACAAAACAATAGTAAAAGCAGTGCACCGTAGGAAGATGGAGAGAACTGATAATCGGATTTTAAGGCTGAGCGAAGGGGATCAAAGAGGGGTAGAAGGGAGCTGGAGTGCGGTCAGTATAATTAGGCTGGTGTATTGGCTGCGATGGAGAGATCATAGCCTGTCTGTGACCCACTCCCACTTGCTGCGCCGCAAGTGGTCGTTGACATTTTTCTTGAACGTGTGCATACCTCTGCGAGAAGGGGAGACTGCAGAAGGGTAGGTGGGAGCTGATTCCACGTTGTGATGAGGGAGTGGGGAAATGAGCGGAGCGTGTTGTTTCGTGACTGAGGAGGAAGAATACTGGTGAGTTGTGATGGATGATGTGTTGCAGATCTGGTTGTCTCACGAGTAGACATGCGGCATTGCGGTGCGGCTGCTGATCGTGGCAGAATGGCTTTCACCATTTCCGGACCCTCCACAAAGTGCAGCTTGTGCAGAAAGCAGAGCCCTGCTACGGTACAGCGAATGTCGAGGCTCGGGAGGTATGATCCATCTCCAATTATGTGCAGGGCACGGCGCTGGATGGCAGTGAGGCGGGCCAAGGTGGTGGGGGCTGCGCTCATCCACACCAGCATGCCATACTCTAACACAGGGCGGACAAAGCCACGGTACACAATTGCCCGGTGCTTTGGGTCTAGCACAGCCGATGCCTTACGGAGGAAGCCGAGCCGCTGGGCTCCGCGTAATGCAAGCTGTCGGATATGGCTGCGGAATGCCAGCTGCCTGTCGAAGGTGACGCCAAGAAGCTTGAGATCCTCTACTTCTGGCACGACTGCTCCTTGGAAGCGTATTGCGTTCGGGGGGGGGGGGGGGGTTGGCGAGCGGTGGTGGCTGATGGTCAATGCCTGCGACTTTGTGGGCTCGAACTTGATCCTCCACCTGCTTCCCCATGCTGCCAGTGAGTCTACTGCCTGCTGGAGGATTGCTGTCTCTTCTGGCAGTCTGAGTCGGGTGGTGATGCACTTGTAGAGAGTTGTGTCGTCGGCGTATACAGCCAGCTTCGCCCCATCAGGCAGGTGGTCTTCTGCGTCGTTGACGTACAGCGTGCTAGAGTAGCATAGGTGTGTGCACTGTGATACACTGATAGAATGATGTATCACATGTGGATGTGGTCACGTGACCCACTGAACCTGGATAAGAAGACCACCTGGCCACGGCGACCGCTTTTTCTCGTCCCCTGAGGGGTTGCCTTAGACAGGTTTCACTGTATACCGGTCTACCGTCGTTAGTAGATAACTCGCAAGTTTCAAATTGTTCATCTTATAACGGGTCAGGGGCGTCACACACGGCACGACCAGTACAGCCATGGTTGTACCACTTTTGGTCCAGGATGGTCCGCCCAGAGCGCCTGTACAGTGCTAAAACCTGATCCGGTTGGGCGAAAAATCCGATCTCCTCCCCTTTGAGACCCACCCCCCCCCCCTTTGAGACCCCCCCCCCCTTTGAGACCCCCCTCGTACCCCGGTCGTATCACTCCCCACTACCCTGTGACGCCCCTATTTATTGCGTTAATAATAATAATGTTGTCCCTGCCCTTTTGGAGGGCATGTGCCCCTTTTGACACGTGTGTGCTGGGTCCGCGTGGTCGGTGTGCGGACCGCGCGTGTGCTGCGCAGGTTGCGCATGCCTGCATATTATTGTATGCATTCTTGTTGTTTGTGGCCTTCTTCTTGAGACTCTCTTCGGAGCAACGACAATAATCAGTCCTCTGAGTATTGTGTACGTGTGATGCAAGACATAAGAGAGTAATCAGAAGGGCTATCGTCGGGGCATAACCCCCCCCCCCCTCCCCCCGACGACAATAATAATCTTCATGTACGTACCTATCCCCGTGTGTTTTGTATAGGTCAAGATATCCTGTGCAAGGCGGAAAAGGAGGGTCGCAAACTGGCATGCGATGCAGGATACACAGCGTTTTACGACTTCATTCCGTGTCCATACCACAGTGGCACGAGGAGCCTTCGACTCCAAACGTGTGAGAGTAAGTAGCAGCCAGTCCTGGCTATGTGTGACTTACTGTATAAGCAGAAATATTCGTCTGGAATTTAATTTCGTCTAACGTCGATTTGCCTAGTTTTTCTATACACTCTTATGATCCATGGACGAAATTTTCAACCAGGCGAACTCCCTTTCTTTGGAGTTGGACGAAATTATTGACCGACGAAATTTTCTGCCTCTACAGTACTGTACTGTAAGACCAGATATTTTAACGTCAATTTATGTGTAAGTTAACGATCTCCGGATCTTTGTGGGTTAGCGAAGTGAAATTCTAACGAATTCTGTCCCATAAGCGGCAAATGACTGTACGTCTAAATATCGCTTTGCACATAACGACTTCAAATGTTAGGGGTCGTCCGCAATTATCGAAAGTTTTTTCCAATCCGTAGTAGCTTCAAATTTTTCCTCACCCACCCACCCACCCCCTCAGTCCGTAATAAAATATTATTGATGGACACACAACCCAACACATATGGAACAAACTCAATCAGTGCTGGTCCATGAGTCATAGTGACATCATGTATTGTATTACAACTACCATTATTGATGTTTAATTGGTGATCACCGAAATGTTCTTGTTCTGCTTCTTCACCGCCTTTCCAAACAACGTCGCCTGTCTGGACATAGTCAATAACAGTCGTCAGCGCCAGCGCTAGACGGAAGGACTTCAAAGGAGTGCATGGAAGACGGTACTCTGGACGAAGGAGACAGTGAAACTCAAAAATAGAAAGTGTCGACTCGCCGTCGAATGCGCCGAACTTTATTATCCCCGGCCCAGGAGCAGCCAAGGAAGCGCGCGCGGGGGCGCAGAAACTGCCAGAACTACAAAAATATTAATTTTGTAGTAGACAGTTCGCGCGCAGCCGCACGTGGAAAACAGGGGCTACACGTAGACGTACACGTGGCACGCGCACTTGTCATTTCGGAAGTTTTTCAATCCGTAACTGGCCTTGACCCACCCACCCACTTTCGAAGCTACTACGGATTGGAAAAAACTTTCGATAATTGCGGACGACCCCTTAACGAATGTTCAGTAATAGAATTAAATATTCTTCACATAATTAACCGCATTCAAGTATGGGGCGGCTCTTAAAGGGTTGAATGTTCGTTAACATTACTGGTCTTACAGTATTTGGTCACATCATGGACAGTGTTTTCTGGAGTACAAGTCACACTGGAGTACTGCAGCTGTTGTGAACCCTCTGGTTCTCTAAAGTATCAGGAACGAACGACCCCACACGGCACGAGGACAACTATTTATTCTCAACAATATCTTTCACTTCCATCGACTAATAATAATGAACAATGAATGACTGAATGAACAACTGAAACAACTGAATAACTAACACTAAAACCACCAGGTAGTTATAGCGTGAAACTGACAGCGTATATGAGAAAAGCATACACATACAACATACAACTACAGCGCACACAGCAAACCGCACATAGCGCATGTTGCGTATACTAGTACTACGTCGTAAACATCAGCGGTACGGCGGAGTCGGGATACAGCTGCATTGGAACGAACACAATGTCACAAGCGAGAAGGCCTTTCACTCTCGAGAACTTGTGGTTTCACAACATTCTCCCCACCAAAGGGCTTCTCACCGCCGTACAACAACTCACAAGTCAAACGATTTGGGGCTTACTACGCGTCATCTGCTGCTGCGGTGGTGGCCATGGTAGAGTATCACTAATGCCCACCACTTCAGACAACTCGACATCGCGAAGCTCGCCGCTGTGGGCTGTCGCACACGACACTGTCACCGATCCACTTCGACATGGGGCAGACGCTGGACCAGACAACACACAACCGATAATGTCATAAAGCTCGACGATGTGGGCTGTCACACACGACATGGTCACCGGTACACTGCTTCGACCCTGGGCGGGCGCGGAATCCGAGGACACGCATCGGATCTCTGTGTTCCACACAGTCTCGCCGCTTACTTCTTCCGTGCTAACCAGTAGTATCGCCCTTCTCATTTTCTCGGCTACTACGCCTTGCGTTTCTAAGTCTTGCGCCTCTAACTCTTGCGCCTCCAACTCTTGCGCCTCCAACTCTTGCGCCTCCAACTCTTGCGCCTCCAACTCTTGCGCCTCCAACTCTTGCGCCTCCAACTCTTGCGCCTCCAACTCTTTCGGCCGAGACTCCAGCTGCTTCTGAGCGTCTCCGACCGATGTCGCCATGCACTGTACCGACCCAGTAGGCCTCGGATCTGATCCTCCCACTGGCTTCGAATACTCTTCTGACCGCTGCTTGTCTGTAAGCAAAGTCTTACACGCCTTGTCCGGCGTCCTTCTGGGCGAGGCAAGCAAATCTCGCTTTGCTTCCTCATAATATGTACTGACGGCGATGCGCTCGGCCATCTTCTTGAGCTTTTCGTTAAACTCTGCGCGGAGCGCACACTCTTGCCGTCTAGCACTGCGCTCTTCAAACTCCTCGCTCTGTCGGAGCCTCTTCTCCACGTATTCTCTCAACCTATCGCCTTCAAATCCATACCGAATTCCGTTGGCGATAAAGCTGGCTTCGATGATCCATAGTTCCTGTGCCATGCTCGCTTCGTATCCTGGCGTGGTCGCCAAATGTTGTGAACCCTCTGGTTCTCTAAAGTATCAGGAACGAACGACCCCACACGGCACGAGGACAACTATTTATTCTCAACAGTATATTTCACTTCCATCGACTAATAACAATGAACAATGAATGAACAACTGAAACAACTGAATAACTAACACTAAAACCACCAGGTAGTTATAGCGTGAAACTGACAGCGTATATGAGAAAAGCATACACATACAACATACAACTACAGCGCACACAGCAAACCGCACATAGCGCATGTTGCGTATACTAGTACTACGTCGTAAACATCAGCGGTACGGCGGAGTCGGGATACAGCTGCATTGGAACGAACACAATGTCACAAGCGAGAAGGCCTTTCACTCTCGAGAACTTGTGGTTTCACAACAGCAGCAGTTGAATCTCAAATAGGGCACAAAGTCGAACGTTCATTTCTTTTTCCATCGGAAGTCCAACTTGGCGCACATCGCTCATGCTACCTGCTATGATTATCGGTCGCGAAATCAGTTGGAGTAGCATTTGCGCATGTGTTGCTTTCACACTCTAATGTGGATCTAGCTGCAAGCTATTGCATTGCAGGGGGTGTACCGCGGCTGCATGACGTCATGCCCCCCCCCCCCCCTCCCCCATGGGATCAAAGTATTCAAATTGAAATATCTCTTGAACACTGTGACGCAGACTTGGGGCCTACACAATTCGACTCAGCGCCCTGAATCGTACGAATCCTGAGAGTTTTCTTCACCGCACATCCCCCGTAACATTTAGAGGTTAGTAGTGAGAGAAGTGACCACACACTGCTGGTTTCTAAAACACGAATGACGGTGCTCCTGAGGGAGGCTCTGTGACAGGCGAGAGTGGATCTCAGATTGGTGGCCGTTTGAAGTCTGGCCATGCACGAAACGAAACAGGTTTTTCGAATGGCTGTAAACGCGCGCGAGTTTTGATCATAAGCCAAGGCCATCCGTTGTAATGCTGGCAGCTTGTAATTAAGTTCTGCCGTCCTGGCTTTGTTTGCCCCACTGCAGAAACAACCGGACTTCGCGGCAACGAACTTTGCTGGCCCACTGTGAAAAGCCTGAAAGTGGCAAATCAGAAGTACAGCTACCCTGGCGCCATTGCGTTCTGTGCCAAGCATAATGCAACTCTGCTGAGCCACAAAGCGTTTGACGCTGGTTGCGCTAGACGAATTCTCCTGCACCTGCCCAAGGCTTGGGTATATCAGGGAGCACAACGTATCGGCAGCCAAGACACTGATCGGCAGGTCAGCCTTGTGGATGAGCTTCTCACCGTCATATGTGAACTGAGTAAGTGTTTGTGAATTAACCATTCATGAGAGAGAGAGAGAATGTGTGTGAGAGACTCAGAGAGTGTGTGTGTGTGTGTGTGTGTGTGTGTGTGAGAGAGAGAGAGAGAGTGAGACAGACAGACAGACAGACAGACAGACAGACAGATGGACAGGCAGACAGACGGCCGGCCGGCCGGCCGGATGGCCGGACGGACGGACGGACGGATTGACGGACGGACGGACGGACGGACGGACGGACGGACGGACGGACAGACGGACGGACAGTGAGCCAAACAGGCTGAGAGAGAGTGTGAACAAAAGAGAGAGAGAAAGATAGACAGAGACAGACAGGAAGACAGACAGAAAGACCGACAGACAGACAGACGGATGGACAGACAGACAGACCGACAGACAGACAGACAGACAGACAGACAGACAGACAGACAGACATGTCGTCTCGGTTGGAGGACGAACTACTTCTCTGCTTTCGCCCCGCCACACAACAAAAGGACTAGGAAAATAGTTGTTCTCTATTTCGAGAGAGAGAGAGAGAGAGAGAGAGAGAGAGAGAGAGAGAGAGAGAGAGAGAGAGAGAGAGAGAGAGAGAGAGAGAGGGCGAGAGAGAGCTTTTCAGTACCACACTTCAAGAGAGAACTGAACTCCCACAAGAAGAGACAAGGGAATATAATGTGGGGACATGGAAAAAGTGGGGTGATGGAGACGAAATAGGTGCTCAAAAGTGGGGCATTCAGGCGAAATAGGTGCACATGTATAATACAACTGGTCCCTAACGGGACGGGAGACAAAGACGGCAGACGATGAAATACGGCGGACGCAAGATGGCAACTAGACGAATACAACAGAGACAAGACAAGAAAGAGTGCATACGAAGGGGACAGAAGACGACACAGCCGCATGTACTAAGCGTGTACCACTGGTCAGCAGCATGTATGACACAGAGTCACAAGCACAGCCGCAGGTACGACAAAGAGACACAAACGCAGTAGCAGGTACGACAAAGAGCTACACGCGCAGCCGTATGTACAACACAGAGCTACAAGCGCAACCACATGTACAACAGACAGACTGAGAGAGAGAGAGAGAGAGAGAGAGAGAGAGAGAGAGAGAGAGAGAGAGAAAAGAGAGAGAGAGAGAGAGAGAGTGTGTGTGTGTGTGTGTGTGTGTGTGTGTGTGTGTGTGTGTGTGTGTGTGTGTGTGTGTGTGTGTGTGTGTGTGTGTGTGTGCGTGTGCGTGTGTGGGAGTGAGAGACTTTCAATTGGAATATGTTGTACTTTCTAATCAAGTTGGAGATGAAACTAGTAAAGGACTTTTATTCATGTACAGCCTGTGTATTTGCATACTGACATGCTTCTCTGGCAAAGGAAGTACATGGTGTGTGGGTGTGGGTGTGGGTGTGTGTGTGTGATTATGTGTGTGTGTGTGTGTGTGTGTGTGTGTGTGTGTGTGTGTGGGTGTGTGTGTGTGTGTGTGTGTGTTGCTTCGTGCTCCTTGGGAGCAGGTTACACCTTCTGAGCTCCGTTTTGGGGCTTTCGCTAAAGTTTTCTGCCTGCCCAGGGCCACTAGAGTCGACCCTGGAGCACCCTCGTGCACTGCCAAGGCAGTGCTGCGTGATTGGAACCCAGGATCGCGATGGAGCCGTTCTGGACAAATTATTTCGATATTGTTACTGCTGCGTCGGCCGTGGTCCATAACTCACAGTGGAGTAGCTGTCCGTCGTGTTGTCCGTGCACCTTCTTCTTGAGACTCTCTATGGAGTGAGACCTAAATAATCAGT